CAGGGGGACAGTGCTGGGAGCAATTCAGCGAGACAGCTATGGCTACCAAACCTTTTATGCCAACAGAGTTGGAAAGATTCAAAAAGCTGGGCCAGTTGAAGACTGGTGGTGAATTCCAGGCAATCTCAACATCACTGATATTGTCACAAGAGGAGCAGCACCTAAAGACCTTGGGGAGGACACTGCATGGCAAAGAGGACCAGAGTTCCTGAGGTGGCCAGTTGAGAAGTAGGGCCAGTGAAGTCTGCAAGTGAGGTTGTAGCTCATGCCAGAGAAAATGTGAATCGGCTCCAAAGGAAGGCATTTTCAGCCATAGTGACTAGACCTCAAGCGAAAAGACGCTAGGAGTTTACTTTGAAAGATAATTCCATAGCAAAGAACCCTGAGGTACTGAGCAGAGTTGACACTGAACCACTATCTTCTAGAGGGTGCCCTGAACCTGAGCTAGAACTCAGCAAAGGCAAAGTCCAGAGAAGGCCGGCGGGCTATGCAGCTAAGTTCATTGTGGATGTGAAGCACTTCAGCAGTTTATCCAAGTTAATTGGTGCCATTGCTTGGGTGTGGAGGGCTGCTAAGACATGGCTAGAAGTAAAAAACCAAGCAGCAAGTCAAGCAAAGAGGAAGGAAGTGTCATCAAGGAAAAGTAAAGTAGCTGCATTAACAGCCAGAGAATGTGAAGATGCTTTCAGGGACCTCGTATTAGCAGCTCAGGAACTCAGCAAAGGCAAAGTCCAGAGAAGGCCGGCGGGCTATGCAGCTAAGTTCATTGTGGATGTGAAGCACTTCAGCAGTTTATCCAAGTTAAAAAGACTCTGGACTTCTAGTCTGAGGAGGCAGGATTCAGGTCTTCAGAGACAACAAAACTGTAGTACCCATTCTGCCTTATGAGGCCTGGATATCGCTGCTACTGGCACAAGAAGTTCACTGTGCAAATCATGAGGGAGTAGCAGGAACACTCCTAAGGATGAGAAAGAAGGCATGGGTGATCAAAGGTCGGCGATTATCCAAAAAGGTAGTAGACAACTGTGTGAGTTGTAGGAAGGCTAAAGTGAAGCAGTGTCAACAAATCATGAGTGATCTGCCCCCAGAGCGGGCTGAGCCAGCAACACCATTTGAGTTTACAGCTGTGGACTTGTTTGGACCTTATGAAATGAAGGATGAAGTAAAGAAACGAGTAAAACTCAAAGTAGTCTGGGGGACTGTCTTCTGTTGCATGGCGTCAAGGGCCATACACACTGATGTTGTCAGTGACCAATCAGCTGAGGGATTCCTGATGGCTTACCAGAGGTTCACGGCATTGAGAGGTCACCCAAGGAAGGTGTGGTCTGATCCAGGCTCAAATTTCGTTGGGGCTAGACCTGCCCTCATAGAACCCTACAGGTTTCTAAACCTCTTGGAGGAGTCAAAAGTGGATGAGAAAGCAGCTAAAAATGGTACTGAGTGGTCCTGGAAGATTCATCCTGCTGATTCACCTCACAGGAATGGAGCAGCCGAAGCAGCTAGTGAAGCGAGCACTGCACAACCTAGCCAGTAACAACACTTTCACATGGAGAGAATTTCAGACTTTCCTAGAGGTCACCCAAGGAAGGTGTGGTCTGATCCAGGCTCAAATTTTGTCAGGGCTAGACCTGCCCTCATAGAACTTTAGTCCCAACTCACTCCTGTTAGGACGAGCTGCACCCCAAGGGGACCCAGGGGATTTCCAGTTCAAAGAATACCCTCACAAGAGAATAAGGGTCATCCAAGCAGAGGTGGGCAAATTCTGGAACAAGTGGTGCCAATTGGCAAGACCAAATCTGTTTGTCAGGAGCAAGTGGCACACCAGGGAATGAAATGTTGCTGTGGGAGATATCATCTGGCTCGCTGATCAGAATGCTTTGAGGGGTCAGTACAAACTTGCCAGGGTGGTCAGTGTCAATCCTGATGAGAAGGGCGTTGTGAGAGACATGCATGTCCAGACTTTCCCAAGCTACCCTGTCTCAGCGTTGAAACCTGCTTGGAAGGAGACCCAAGGAAAGGCATGAAAACTACCAAAAACACTACTAAGATTCCTGCAACAATCCTCCATAGAGATGTCAGGCGGCTCATCGTCCTGATTCCTGTGGAAGAGCAATAAATGGGTGTGATCTCCTTGGGTTAAATAACCAGGAGCTCAAGTGGGAATGTTTGCTTGACTCCAGTTGGAATAAGGAGGGGACACTTCACCGGTGTGGCAATCATAGGGATGTCACTGGTATGTAAATTGTTTTATGTAAAACAGAGAGTTTTACCGCTGTGTTCAGTATGATATGCTATTTAGCGTGCGGGTTTGTCATCTTATTCAAAGTAGCGATGTTCGTACTTTGCGTTATGTAAGCTAGCTATGTGAAGTCCAGAGTGTAAACACTGTATTTCATCAAGATTTAAGTTAAACCTGCAACATAAATGTGGAATTAGAGAGCTCACAATGTTGGTAGCAACAATAATGCTCATTGTATTTTATTTCTCATTTTCCTTTTGTAAGGTTATCAACCTGTTTGCTTCTGCTGAAGAAAGTTCAATAAAAGAAACAAAAGTAGAAGAAATTGAGTTATTCCTGCATCCCCTGTGATTAGCTTATGCCTTTTTCAAGTTTGGGCAGCGTTTGAAGTAAAAAAACCCCAGAAAACTTGACAGTGTCTGTGCTCTTATTAAAGAGATGGCTTTGTTTTACGTATCCTCGTCTGGCACTTTAATTGAGTTACGACATTATCGGCAGCTTCACGCGCCGATCCTGACATTATGAGAAAACTGAGTTGCCTTGCCGGAGGTTTGCACTCTCTGAGTGCAGTTCAGTCCAGCCTAAAATGCACGATGACCTAATGTGATAAATATATTACCTTCTCCTATCAGCTTTTTGTCTATGCACACAAAGTCTTCACTTGCCTAAAACTACAAACCTCAACGGGCGTGGACACTACAATATGTCTCTATAATGTCACCTTTGTAGCTCTAAGCAGGGCCGGCTCATGGTATAGGCAACATGAGCAGTCACCTAGGGCACTGAATGTGACAGTAGGACACTTCATAAGTAACGTTTAAGTCCTTCTCAGGGATAGGAAAATTTTCAATCCAGCAACATTCTTGGAGTGAATCTGAGATGTTTGATATTTATACTCCCCCGATTTTACAATCCAATTTGTTCACACATCTGCGAAAATATCAGATATGAGTCAGGTGGAGGGGAAAAAAAAAAAATCTAATTTGGGTCCCTGCAGCAGGTGATGTGGTCTTCTTCCTATTGTGATATCAGTGATTTTGGTATGAAATGAAATCTGTAAAATTCCTCACAATTGTTCATTTACAACCTTTAACCTTTGCAGATTTCCTTTCTTGCTTTGGATCACAGATGTGCACACAGTGGATGTAGACATCCAGCCATTGTGTGAACTATAATACAGTACAGCTTTTGGGAGAACTCACTTTTTTCTCCACTTTTTCATGGTTAGAATGAAAGATAGAAACAACATTTGTAAAGCATGTCATTTAACTTTTGTTAATCAATATTCCTATGGAGCTCCGGCTCCGACATGCAGCATAGGTTGATTGGTGTCTCTAAATTGCCCGTCGGAGTGATTGTGTGTGTGAGTGGTTGTTCGTCTGCGTGTTAGCTCTGGAATGGACTGGCGACCTGTCCAGGGTGTACCCCGCCTCTTGCCCGCAGCTGGCTGGGATTGGCTCCAGCCCCCGTGACCCCGTTTGGGACTAAGCGGTATAGAAAATGGATGGATGGATGGATTATTCCTATGGATAAGAATATGAATAATAAGAATAAAAAATAGATGTAAAGTAAAGTAACCAGTGAGGTGTGTATGAGGCACGGAGAGCAGTGAGGAGAGAGACCATTTTACTATGTGCACCTTTCTGGGCGAGGGCGTAGGTTTGGTCTCAGCATTGGCAGGGACACAACCTTCTTCCCCAGCTCAAACCCCCCTCCCCCCAAAATAATTACATTAAGATCTATATTTATTATTTGGGTGCCATTTATTTCCATTTTAAAGATGACTGAACAGAATCTTATGTAAGCAGCTTGCTCTGATGTAAGATTTCTTTCCAAATAAACTCATGAGCAAAGATTGAACATCTGAGAATAACTTTAATGCTGATGCCTCCCTAAAATTCCAGACAATAATTCACAATTAGCCTCACCTGAAACACTGAAGATGCACCTGTTCCCTCATCTCTCTGATGTTTCCTACATGCAAAAAATTTATTAATTGTGACATTTTCGAGGGGTTTCTGGCCTGAAATTCACATCATACAGTCATGGCCAAAAATATTCTGATAGCAGAAACGCAAGCAACTTAATCTGCTGGTTTCTGGACTGTGGGAAGAAGCCAGAATATCCAGAGGAAACACACAGCACTGCAAGATCATGCAAAGTCCACACAGAAAGGATCTAGTAAGGATTTGAACCTGGAACCCTCTGCTGTGAGGGGACAGTGCTAACCACTGCATTTGTATTTACTACACAAAAACATAGAACAAATAAAAAATAAATGTATGTAATAATTAATGCATATCATTGCAGCTACAGTCATGGCCAAAAATATGGGCGCCCCTGCATTTCTGTCAGATAACACACCACTTCTTGCAGAAAATTGTTTCAATCACAAATTTGTTGGTATTCTTATGGTTATTTCTTTTGTTTGCATTGCACTCCAAAATGCAGAGAAAAAAGCCAAATCTGATTCATTCCACACAACTCCAAAAACTGACTGGACAGAATTATGGACACCTTTTCAAAATCATCAGAAACAGTTGTATTTCCAGCCTGTGATGCTCCTTTAATTTGTAATGAAACAAGTGTGATTTCTATATGCTGGCAACATAGAAATCACACTAGAAACCAGTTAAAATGGAGAAAACTGACTCAGCCTTTGTGTGGTGTGGACCACACTGAGCATGGAGAAAAGAAAGAAGAACAAAGAACTGTCTGAGGGTTTGAGAACCACAATGGTGGAAAAGCCTGGACAGTCTCAAGGCTACAAGTCATTGCAATGCCTTGGGCCATTGTCCTGCTGTAAGACCCATGACCTCTGACAGAGACCCAACTTTCTGACACTGGGCCCTACATTGTGACCCAGAATTCATTGGTAGTCTTCAGATTCCATAATGCCATACACACAGTCAAGACATCCAGTGGCTGAAGCAGCAAAGCAACCCCAGAACATCAGTGAACCTCCACCATGTTTGACTGTAGGGTTGTGTTCTATTCTTTGAAGGCCTCATTTCACTTTCTGAAAACAGTAGAATGATGTGCTCGACCAAACAGCTCTATTTTAGTCTCACCTGTCCACAGGACATTCTCCCAGAAAGGCTGTGGCTTCCTCAGGTAAGTTTTGGCAAACTCCAGTCTGGCTTTTTAGGAGGACTCAGAAAGTAGAGCTGTATCCCCTCACAAGTCCTCATCTGGGAAACAACCTACACTGACTCTGCCATCTGACCTTTTCATATCTGAGTCCTGCTTCTTTAAGAGAAAGTATGAGAACCCAGCAGGACTCCATGGCCTTATGAAAAACAAGGATCCATACTACGATATACTATGTTGCCTCAAAACAAAGCTGGGGGGATTTCTCCTGTTATCACAGCACTACAGGTTTCAAAGCCCATTGAGGCAAATTTGTGATTTGTGATATTGGGTTTTATAAGTATATCTGTGCTGGATCTGAAGTGATCTATCTTCCATGTCAGCTCAGCGAGATCCACTAGCCCTCATTTATGCATGTGTTGTCTCTAAATTTACTCTGGCCTCAGGCCATGTCACATTTAAGTGTGTGACTCCAGTGCTCTGAAATAGTGATTTCCATCCTCTATCAATATGTCAACAGGGTGTTTTTTAATACAAATATCTGCTGAGGAGCATCTAAGATCTAAAAGGTATAAAAGAGAAACAAATGAAATATAAAATATAGCTGACCATTTTTACGTTGTTGGTGAATGGTTGCATTATGAAGGGGACTCTAAGCTTTCCAGAATGTGCCATTACTAGAAATTTTGTCCTTGAACTATTCAAATTCTGGTCACAGGCATGGAGTACACTTCTCTCCATATTCAAATACACACTTGTCTAGGCTAAGGAGTGTTTAGCCTACTCCTCACAAAGTTTGGAATGCATCCAACACTTCAGGTGTTGATGCATTTGAAGGATGGAAAGTGTATTTTATTGTTGCATGCATGTGGAGAAAACACTACACTCATACCCATAAGGCACATGTATGCATATGGACAGATGGAGCAGACACATTTGCTTTTGAACTTGGCTCCTAATAATCACCTGAATGCACAAACTTCATGCTTAATCAGGGGGAGGTTGGTATAGGAAGCTGTGGGGTTTGTTCCATGACCACAGGGTGATCCACATAAAACTCATCAATGCAACAGTCCATTATTGTCATGGGGCTGTGGTAACACTAAAGTAGGAAACAGAAAACAGACCATTCTGTTTAGACATTAGGGCTCTATGGATACATCAGTACAGCTAGGGTTGTTTTAAGTCAGTGTGCAATGGGATTTGTTTTTTATTCTGGCTTATTCCTCTTATTCCTGTGGAAGCAAATTAAGTGTGACTTTGGATGTCCTTCTACCCAGCCTCGAGGAGGACCGCAGCTGTGCAAGTCCTCTCTACCCTAAGGATAGAGAGACTAACTCAGATAACTCTCTCTTTACCTCTCTTTGTATTTGTGTCTAGTCTGTCTTGGGTTTTTTTCAATACTGTGTTAATTCACAGAGTGGAACTGCTCACCCACCAGGGTATCCCAGAGTTTCTCTAAGATAAATCTGAGGCTTATTAAGACTTTGTTAATGCTATCCTAAATTTTAATGTATTGCTAATCCAAAATCAGACACTAGCAAAACTACACTTTTATTTTTCAACCTAAGACTACACTAATCAATATTTTATTCTTATTATTTCTAAAATGACAATATGTAATGTTAAAGGTTAAAATAAAAGTTATATTATGTTTTTCCCATTCAAAACAATTCATAACCTTGAGCTTCCCATACCTGTAATCCAGCAGACTGATCTGCTCCACTTGGCTTTTCCACTGCATTTTTCCTTATGTTGGTGACTGTTTACACAAGGATGGGACTGTGCTTCTCACATACACAGCTGAGCAGACAGCATGATGCTCATTAGTCACAAGTGCAACAAAATCGTCCAGTAACTGTATAAAATTCAAAATTCAAATCACAGCTAAATCGTGTACCAATTACTAAAAACAATACACGAATAAAATTTACTTGCCTAGTCTCAAATTTTGGGGTCCCTCCCAAAAATGTTTCTAAGCAATCCCTGACTAAACCTCTTATTTGCAGTTTGACATGAAATCAGCAACCAGCCATTATCCTTATGCTCCGATCATAGTCACCACTCAAAACTTTAAGGTAGAAACACAAAAGAAGTATCATATTAAGGAACTGAAATAACTGTACAATTCTATTCAGTTCAAAGGAAGACGGATTTCACAACCAATGGCAACCACCTTCATGAGGTACTGTTTTTAAGATTCGTCTCTAGTAAGATAACTATTAACATCGGTTGCAAGAGCGATCGCAAGTTTGGCAGAGTCGTTGATGACAGCCATGTCCTTGACAGCAATGTTGAGTTGAACAGT